CCCTTGGATACAACTGCCCCACCTGCCACCCCCCCCCCCCAACTCCTCTCTGTGGCCTGCACTTAAGGTCGTCCCTTACATGAAAGCCACGGCAGCTACAATTGTTTTCCCCAAATGGAAGCAGCTGCTCTGCATGCTCTCCAGCTATCGCAAGGGGCAGCAACAGCACTGGACACCTTCACAATGGATGGCGTGACCTCTGTGGGTGTAAACGGTCTGTGCGTCAGGTGTGGCTGTATATATGCTCACCTGCTTGATATCATAGGAGACAGGTGAAACCTGTTGGTTGTCAGAAACTACCTGAAGATGTGATACTCTGTCAAGTATATAGCGTTGTCGAACATTAGTGTGTGTGCCCACAGGGATGTAGCCGAGGGCTGGTGTGCCTTAACATGTTGGCAGTAACATGAGCTCTGAGCGCACCTGGACTTTAAATCCGTAAACACACCGGGAGCACATCATCCCACGAGATCCGCCTCCTCTAAAAAAAATCGTACCTATATTACAATGCCTTAGCAACTGTTTTATCGGTAACCTAAATGATGCAAGTGTAGATAATGATTAACAGACTCGAGTCGAATGCCTGTAGTGGTTATTTATCGAGTGGACAAATGGGAAGACTTACCATTGCAGAGTGTGATGCCATTGATCTCTGGTAAAGGGAAGAAATGTAAGTGAGCACAGGATTGGCATTTCTATAACCTTTCTCTCCCACCACGTGTTCTTTCCAAATGAGACAGAAATAATAGTGTGGCCTCAAGTTTAATACCGTATATATTTCGCGTTCTGTTTTTTTCAAATACCCTTAATGATACAATTACTGTCGAAGGACACATACTTGTACGCGGGTAGCTACGTGTGCACATTCCTGTTTCGTTGAGTTTTGTTCGTGTGCATGTTTGTGTTGGTGTATCTGGAACCTCTTTTTTGGGGGAACTCGTACTGCAAGCAGCCAGGTAAGAATGCAATACATAAACCCACACGCGACACACGAGGACACTCCCATGGGTGAATTCACTCAAGCCCACATGCACGCCTCGTGCAAACACGAGTCCTGGAGGCTACACACTTGACACGCTTGCATTCGTGTGCACACCCACATTGGTGCACTCACACACACGCACGCCCGCATTGATGCACCAACTAATATGCATGTGCAATCGCGGAACAGCACTGAAAGCACAGGACACTGAAACACATTCGGAGCTTGTTAATTTGTCGATGATATGGAGTGAATAAATTCTGGCATCTTGAGTCCACACGACCACATTTATGACCAAAATAAGGCTTTGGACAAGTATCAGAAGGAAAATTGTGTTTTGGGTCTTAAAGTTATATCCAAGCTCACCATTGATTGTAAGTTAAAATAAAACAGTGCATGCTCCTTCAACATAACATTTGACAAGATCGATCTATTACGGGGGCACTGCTTCAGTTATTCATGGAAGCCACTCCAGATTTACCACCTCGTGCAGCGAACACGTTCATTGGTCACAGTAAAATACGTTTAAATGTTGTTTGGTTTTTTTCGGTAAAGTCACGTATAAAGATAAATTAATAAATTAAATAATAGCATACGACGTTTCGATTGCAATTATTTAATTTATTATTTTATCTTTATACGTGACTTCACCGAAAAAAAACAAAGAATAATTCCTGCAGTCACGAAAGCTCCAAAATTAAGATTTTACGTTTAAATGGTTTGTCATTAAATTGTCTCATTTACTCACAATGGTACAAGATATGACATTATACTGGTAGGAACATCCTGGTTACACCAGCCCACAGGGATTATTGTGTCCGTCGTGCAGGGAGGGATTGGGTGGGGAGGGAGGGGCTGGGTGGGAAGAGGAGGGTGGGAAGGGGCTGGGTGGAGCTGGGTGGGGAGGGGCTGGATGGGGAGGGGCTGGTCACCCCGTGGTGCCCTTATAAAACTCAACGCTTAACCTACTCACGCCGGCTTGTGCCCGCCCTCACAGTCGGGCATATTTGCGGAATACACCACGCCGCCGTTGACCCTGGCCATTGACCGAGCAACCCAACGTTCCTACCAGCTCCCTCCGCAGGAATGTGTTATAGACTGGGAAGTCATCCTTAAAATCTGTAAAGTATTGGCTATACAGTCCCTCCAGAAAAACGCGATTATGCGATCGCAAGTTTCCACGCAAAATCAGCCAAAGTCCGCATATTTATGCGGGGGGCGCGTTTTTTCAAATACGCCGCACTTTCGCCGCATAAATTGCAGATTTCCGCGCGCAAAATATACGGGCTTGCATGATTTCATAATCCCCGCATTTTCGTTGCAAAAAGTCACATATATCTTAGCAGAAAGTTGAAAAATGTTGCGTTTACTTCACACAAGCGCAGCCATTTCCCCTGTTGCCATGGGAACGTTATGAAGTGACGTCACTCATTACAGTTGTAAGATTTCACTTTTTTGTTAATAGTATGTAAATTTACATTACTGTAAGACTGTACTGTTACTGTATTGCTTACGTTACTGTGCACTGAAAACACTTATTTTAACAGAAGATGTCTGTTTTGTATAGCTACCTCTGTAAAACAGGAAGCACACATTTTATTTTTTAATATTTTATTTATTCATTTTTACAGAAGTTGTAGCATATTCATTTTGTAAAGCTACAGAACTTGTTCGACTCAATGTTTTGTAAGTTTGAGCCATCTGTTTGTTAAGGTCTGAAATAAAACAAGATGAGAACTTAAATATTCCCAGCACTTTCTGTGATGTAGTATGCTTGCTTATCATAGGAAGTAATAAGAAATGACTCTTTACATTCAAGTAGTAGCCTAGTGAATAGGGTGTTGGGGGAATCACTTTTTTTTCTCTTTTTCATCAAACCGCAATTTTTGCAAGTTCCCGCAATTTTTGCAAGTTTCCGCAATTTAATCGCATAAAACTGCATAAATATCCCGCATATTCCATCGCATTTTTTAAGAAAACGTGCCGCATAATCAACGATTTTTGCCCGCAACAATCACCAAAAAACTCCGCGTTTTTCTGGAGGGACTGGCTATACAGTAGAAGGAAATGGGTGTTGGATTTAAGTTAACCTTTGTATAAAATGTAGAGCTGCAGCCATGCAATTACTTGCTCATGCCACTGCTCGCGGATGGACCTCCACTGGAGGTGCTGGCCAGACATATCGGAAAAGGTGGCAGAACTCACACTTTACCCCGTCAAACATGGTCAACCGATCGACTAAAAAAAAATCAGTACAATGTTGGCTATATAAGAAAACAGGTGCCATGATTTGGTGTATTTAAATTTGGAATTGAATCTACTAATTGAACCAAACACCATAGTCAATTATGGTGTTTTCACATCCAGTTGTCTTTTGTGACAGAAATTTTTCATAGAGCAATACAAAACAAAATAACCATGTGGCACTGCTAATCTCTGTTGGTGGCTCGGATTCATTGCTGGAAATTCTACATTCATATAGCAGAGCCATATGAATGAATGTTGACTGTTTAGATATACAAATAGTAACATTTGCAGTCAGGTCTAGTAAAAAAAATTGTGAATGAAAATAAGTTAAATCTGAGAATAGTGCACTGTCAATGAATTTAACAGAGCCAATTTAAAATAAGGAGGGGCCTCTTAAAGATATCTATAAAAAAGAGCCCGGTTACATAAAATGGCAAGTCCTGTAAATATGCAATTTAAAGTGGATAAAAAAGATGCGATTCGAGCAAACTTGACACGCTACGTTTTAAAAATCTAAGTTCCTACTTCAGTAGTTTCTCTCCGATGTGTTTTCTGTTCGTACCACGTGTTGGTTCGGCATGATACCCGCCGTTTAGCTCCACGTGATGAGAGCTTCTTCAGGAACTGAATTTAGTTCCTCCTTCAGGAACTGAATTGATCCCGTGTCCATATCTGTAAAAACTCAAACTGAGAGGCAGAGGCGATACAACATTAAGAACGGACGTGGCCATACCTTGGATTTTGACAACATTTTACTCTGTATTTAGTCATCGCAATAGTTTGTAGGCTGATAGCCGTGTTACTGCATCGTCTATTGCCTTCTTACGGGCAAGAAAAAAACCATAGTTCACATTCATCAATAACGCTGCCTTAAAAAGAAAAAGTATAAATAGGCAACGTTTCGGAAAACGACCCTGTTTCACAGCACATGAAGAGGTCAGAGAGGTAGACCATTGCAAAAATTGTCACCTATGCTTATTCGTTTTAAGGCCGTGTTATTGATAAATGCGGGGTTTTTTTGTAATTTGTGCTTGTGCACCACTGCCAATGCAGTGCCACCAAATAATTTGTGACTTACGATTTTTTTCTTGTCAACAGATGTCTGGTATATGCTTAGTCATTCAAAGATTTAATCCATCAAAGCCAGACAAGCCCCTAATATTGACAAACACACACTTCATGCTCTTCAGTTGGTGCTAATGTCTGATTGATTTATTGATCGATCAGGTCCTCGTTATAAACAGTTAATCCAGACACAGAACAAGATCCCATAGCTCCAGCAATGTAGTGTGAACTGAAAATGTACAGCTCCTTTTGTCATTCCACAACTTTGGACGAGGGCCTCCCAACGCCACTGCGCTGTTGAGGTTATTTGTCCATAAATTTCAATTCAAAGCTTTCGTGACTGCAGGGATTCATATTCTTGGTTCTTTCAGTAAAGTCACGTAGAAGGGAAATAATAAAATAAAAAATACTACATAAATAATAAAATAATAAAAATGAAAGTTTTTTAAATTATATTATAATAGTACATTATTATATTATTTTCTTGTTTTCTTTTTTTATTTTATTATTTCCCTTCTACGTGACTTTACCGAAAGAACCAAGAAGATATTTGGCCATACTTCACCACGCTGGTCAATGCATGTTGGTTGGTGAAGGAGGGGAGCAGTGATGCTAACGGCATGGTACAGTGCAATACTTTACAACATTTTTTTGCTAAACTGCTCTCTGCTGACATCATAGCAATAACCTGCAACACCGATTTCAGGCATGGTGGTCGCCCATCCAAGCTCCGTCCAAGCTCCATCCCGGCTTAACTTGGCTTAGGTTCCAAGATCTGATGAGATGGAGCGCATTCCGGGTGATTTGGTGAGAGCCAGTGGTGAAATGTGCCGTACTGTATTATCATTCCTACGCCACTTTATGTAACCATCAGATAACGCTGCAGGGTGTAATCTGTCCATAATCTCTCATCCCTTATACCTGCAGTAACAGCTTATTAATGCACCGTGGTGGCTGCAAGTTTTGAGATGCTCTCCAGATACAATAAGTGTCAACAATCAGTCCATTCTCACTCGCAGCGCTTCCAAACTATGGTGGGCTATGCCGTGCAGTATTTAATAGACATTGTGCTGTACTGTATTGTAATTGGAAACTTCGACTAAAAACCCCATCTCGTGTTCCACCATTTTCAGCAATGAGGACATATTACACAGTATGCGTTGCCGCGATTGCGTGCATTCACTGGTGGAGTGTGTGAGACAAGGAGAGCATTGCACGTAAATGACTCCGACACTCTCACTTAAACAGCCCGGGGAAATCAATGGTGTTATCTGGGGGTTCATATAATTGGATGTCCCTTGGTGTCTAATTTTACCCAAAGTAGTTTTTTTACCAAGGGTCAGCTACTCGGCACAAAAGTATGAAAATGGGACAGGTCGCCCATAATCGTTGCCTTCATCCCGTTGTTGCACAAATGCACCAGGCATTGCTCAAATGAATGAGGGTGAAACTAATGTTTACAGCAAACGATCCGAAGAGCTGGCCACGAAATATCACGAACAATTTCACGATTTGGTACGAATATGAATGAAGATGTCTCATGAAAGACTGACCTCAAAGAAAATTGGGAACAACACAATTTTAAACACGTCCCATTACCGTGCGGTCACCGGGGACACTCGACCCGCAGTTTTTGTCTTAACAACAAGAGCGACATTTCATTTTATGGTTACATCAAACAGGAATGCAGGCACATGTGCAAGAAGGGAGTGGACAAACAGGCTTGGATATAGTTGGCAGGATAAGTGAAAGAGCGGGCACACATACACAGGCTGGTCAGATCGCATTTAAAGGGACGTAGTCACGAACCAGACAAGCAGGCGGGCAGATTGGTGGTGGCGACCTCAGCCAGCAAAACATTGCATGGAGCGACTGTGTCACACAAGCATATGATTTTTTAAAATCTTTTATGGAAATGTTTTTATTTTTAAAATATGACCCCCTATTGTTTTCTCTTTCCACAGGCAGCACCCACACAACGCATCATAAAATGTAAGTTTCATCCCACCGTGAAAATCGAAAAACATACACTTTATAATAGGATGTTTTAATACATTACATACTCTTTGTTATTTACCTAATAATGTGCACGTTGCATGAGTGGGGTGTGAATGTGCATAGTTGTGTAATGAAACGTAAAAAGTACAAATTGCCGTCAAGATGTGGATAAGTTATACATTGTTTAATCGATGGCATAACCCGAGAGTTAAGAGGATTCCGTTGTCAGTGTTTGTCAGCACGATGCAAGCGCTGACAACATGCTGTTAAATTGACCAAACTTGCTCCAGTCGGTCGCGTGAACACACGTACACATGCATATCATTGGCACCGCTCTCTAAAGATGCATGTGCACACCTAACCATCTACAACTTCACACTTTATGACACTGGTCAGTGCAGATTGGTGAAGGGAGCACAGCTTGTCAAACCTCTCACAGAGTGACTTCTCTTGGTGACCCTATCCAGTACGATATAGCTACTCAAGTCCTAAAGGCTCTCCCGCTTCTTTGCCACGTCGAGGCGGTGCTCTTATGACCCCCCTACGAGGGAGAAACAATAAGATTCTATAAATATACTGTGGACCTCCAATGAGGTCAAAATGTGGCAAATGAATGGGGCAGAATGGGTTGCCAGGCCCAATCAGGCTCCCTTCAGAGGTCACACCCCACGCACTGATTGGCAGAATATTTCCACCAATGGTGTTTCTGCATTCACCATTTCATCGGTGCTTAATGGAGATTGGCAGAATACGCTCATTTCAATGGTAGAAATGGCCCTTCCTAAATTCCAAATGTTAAATTGGCCCGAGTTTCCGCGTTCGTTTTGCCACAATGTGGTGTATTAATGGTCAAAAAACCACATACATCATATCCAAAAGGTCACAAATAATTTCTCTGGATTACCGTACTTATAATGCTTGTGTAGTGAGTTCAACTGAGTCGCAGACATACACTTGGAGGCAACACATTTATTTAACACCAACACATAGGGTAACTGCCCCTTAACAGAATAACAACTGCTACTACAGACCGGGACCAACAGCTTGGGTCTGGGTTCACGTGTTGGAGACTCGTTGATCGGAGAACGTAGAGCGTAGACGAAGGTTTCTTCAGGATTAACAACAACGCCGGTCTCTCTGGGGGACCCGGCTTATATTATCTGCGGCGTGGCCGGCTCCGCCCTTGGCCACGACCACCTTCCAGAATCCTCGAGCAGGATCTGGACCCCGACCACGTGACCACCCCTAGCCCCCACTTGGGGCCCCTTTGTAGACTGAACTGGTCACGTGTCCTCTCGGATCAACCAGAGTGCCATGGACTTTAGTAACCTCATTCCTACGGCCGGCACTCCCACACCCTATCCTGCGGGGTTGGCACTGCACGCAAAGCGTGGTGCCGTCTAGCGCTATCAATCAGCGCTCACCGGGCCCCTCTAGGTCCGGCACTACACCCACACCATTGTGGTGTCCGCGATGTCATTACACCGCACGCACAGTGACATCTCGCGATGTCACTACACTTGTATAAATTGCAATAAAAATTTGTTCCACGAAAGAATGCAAAACAATGAAGTAAAAAAACATCAACAGGTAACATCAAAGTAGTTTAAATACATTTTAACATCAAGCATCATCTCCCTACAGGTTTTAATCTTGCCTCACCGATCTCTACAGTGGCTATGCCATCTGCTGCACCATCCCCTCCGTCTGTCTGTCTGCCTTTCCCAGCAACAGCCACTGCCCTTGACTCCCTTGGTGCTAATTCCCTTCAGTGGACCGCCCACTGCGTGTGCGGCCTGAACACCTGGTCCGACTCACCTCCAGCTCAAGCTGCTCGTCCAAGCCGCCACCGCCTGTCGAGATACACCATCCTAGATCGTCTTGTCACGCAGCTTCCACAGCTGTCAATCACCTCGCAGTTTTCCTGCCTGGAAGTATTTTACACATACTCTATGACTTATGTGAGCCATATGGCTTTAGTTGTACGTTTGCACGTTCTCCCCGTAATTGCGTGTAATTTTCTCCGGCTCCTCGGGTTTTTCCCCCTCCACATTTAGAAACATGCGTTTAGAGTATTTGGCCGCTATACACTTCCACGTGATAAGCCACTTCATTGAGCTATTATTTGTGGCTAAGTCGCTGCTGAAAAAGAGCTGTAAAGCTCAGTGGCTCTTACCTGGCAAAATAAAAAATAAGTTTTATGGTTGTAATATCTGCGCACACTGGCAAATGCTTATTGACCCATGGACTCACAGATGACACCATCATCACTGCCATTATGTACCAGTGACAGGAGGACTAAATGTGAAATGTTATTGCTTGTCATGCCTTAGCGTCCGTTGACGTAATATCGGTTACGTAATTAATTGATATGTTGTTATGTTTGATGTAAATAAAAAATTTGTCAGATTCACAAAACTAAATGGAACATTTATAGATGCAGAAAGATACAAGCCACTTGACTCTCATATGGATCACACTTATCTATTGCGCCTCCAATAACGCTGTTTGGTGCTGACTATTTGGCATTTTGTGTCTTTGGGCCTATGCTCAGCAACCGCAATGTTGAGGTCGACCGTCTCATGGACTGCTCATTGTCTTAGAGGGTAAGTAATAATTCATAATAGGGGTTTTGGGTTAGATCACTTCATAAGTAGCCCCCCCCCCCACATTGTGCAAGAGTGCAGAAGCGTGGTCAACACATCTACACCTCTATATAAGGAACGAAACAGTAAGACTTCTCCACAAATCTGGCTGTCGCCTGATGAAGCTAGTTGTAACTACTGGCGAAACGTCGTACTCAGTTTGTAAATGTTGTGGCTTGGCTCTCCAACACACCGGTGTGGTGCTGTACTAGTGACGAATTGGCCACGTTCTGTTTACGTGACAACCCTTACTAGTTGGCTGCGTCGGGTGGTGGCGGGTTTTAACGACACATTTATATATTGACGCCATCTAACCCCAAAAAACTTATTTTGGATGATATTGATCGCGAAAGCCTCCTACGTGTCAAATGCTAAGTAATCATTCTTGCGTCCTCTTAATATCTTTTCTCACGTCTCCCCCCTGAATTAATCCCTAGTCTCGACCTTCCTAAATGGTCCTTCGTTTTTGATAATTGCAAATATGATGCTCTCTCCCACTACCTCAATCTATCGCAATTACACGAGAAAACAACATCTCCAAAATTTAGAAGGAAATCGAGATTTATTTACTGATGCGTCACTGGGGTCAGAAATCAATCACACAACTTCAACGTTGAATTTTCTAAACAAAGAGTGTTTCAAAACACTATAGAACAATTTGAATAGTGGACAACAGTTGTAAATGACACTGAAATGAGGCCTATGTATGCGAACTAAATATGTTTTCGGAAATGAATGAACACCAAATTCGGGCTCGACTTTAGGACTGAAATCACAGCATAACTTCCTGGAATCGCGGCATAGCTTCCAATGCCGAGAGACTACATGGGGCAATGGCTGCATTAGTTCCTCGTTGCAAGTTCGGTGGTCATTAAACTCTTGAATTAGGGCCACGCCTCTCTCCCCAATGGCATTGACAGCCTTCAACCCCTTGATAATTTTCTGAACAGCTCCATAGTCATCGTCCTGAAGGCAAACCTCTGACTCCTTGTGGAGGAAGCCTTTAAGGAAGACCCAAGGCATTGAAGAGGCCTCTAGTCTGTTGCATAACAAATGGGCTGTGTCTCGAGGTCATTCCAAGATCATACGGCTGCAGCTTAATCCTCTTCAGGAGATCCTCTGTTCTTTTCACCTCTTTTCATAGTCAAAATTTAAAAGTTGGTGAGGCGCCTCTAAATACAATCCAATTTTGACGTGACTTTGCGGGCTGTAGTTTTCAACAAATTGAAACAAATGAGGGGATAAGTCGAAATATAATATATTCATGTTTTTACATATATAGGAACTACCCTACTGTACTCATATTATTTTTCCTATACATTCTTGAAATAACAACACTGTGGGTTGTAGATTTGGCCGCATAGAGGGGGCTAAACGGACACGAAACGAGCTGGAGAAGAGATGGCGCTGATGCGGTATGGGAAGATGTGGAGCTGAGTGGAATTGCCGAAGACTGGTACGAGTGGTGTCAAGATCGTCCTCAATGGAGGAGGCTCGTGAAGGACGCTGCTACTGGGCAGTTGGTGGCAGTCGCTCTCCATCAACACTCACAGCGAACGGAGCGCCGGGCGGCTAAAATGCAGCAAGTTGGCACAGTAGGGGGTACAGCTGGTGCATCTGTCAATCAGCTCAGTCAGCCAACCCATGGCACCTGGGTCTTTCCCGTGACCTCTTGTCAGCGAGCCTTCGACGCTTCACGTGGCCTCAAAGTGTACCTGGCCTGGTACAGGTGCCGTTGTGACGTCACCGTCACAAAATGGCGAATGGCGAGTATTGGTATTCGTTGTAGCTTTAAAGTGATTGATTGCACGTATCCTCCACATGCAACAACCTAGCCGAGCGTTTTGATGAAATTACTAAACCATTCGCAAAAGCTTGTAATTCTCAATGTATTCCTGCAATGTCCAGTCTGCAAACTCTGTATATTGACTTATTTGATCAACTTGTCAGGTAATTTTAAAGTGAACGGTTAAGTCAACATAATATACTGTACAGTGCTGTAATTTAACGGAATAAGTTAAAATGTTAAGAAGTTATTATGTCGCTGACAAGAAAAACGTTGACAATCCTGGCAAGATTGCAAAAAATGTTCGACACTTGAGAGATTTTTTTTTCTTTCACTAAAACACATTTTGCCAGAACTGAATTTACTTGCAGAATTGTTGACACCACAAGAATACAATTGTTGTATTTTCCTACACACTGTACATTATTTTAAATCATGAAAGCACAGCACAACAATTCGTTTTGGAAAGGCATTTATGTGTGTACCTCAGCATCGTAAAAATAACAGCGAGCTCTTTAAGCCAATTCCACGTGGGCCTGCAAACCGAAGAGAACATTTCAAGCACTTCTGTCAACCCCTTCCCACGCCCTAGCTCACTTTTTTTTTGCACCTCCCCTTAACGTCAACAATTTGGTGAACTTGGTAAATAAACACCCGCAGGAGTGAAGTAAAAACTCGTGGGCGTCCAGGCCAAGAGTGAAAAGGGGACATTCGTCAGGTGACGCGCTGTTGACATACCTCAGGGTATATTATATTACTGGTAAGAACCTCCTGGTTACATCAGCCCACAGGGGATTATTATGTCCGTCCGTCCGTCGTGAATCCCAAACTGGGAGGGTTGGAGCTGGGTGGAGAGGGGAGGGTGGGGAGGGGCTGGGTGGGGAGAGGAAGGTGGGGAGGGGCTGGGTGGGGAGGGTGGGGAGGGGCTGGGTGGGGAGGGTGGGGCTGGGTGGGGGGTGGGAGGGGTGGGGCTGGGTGGGGAGGGGCTGGTCACCCCGTGGTGCCCCTATAAAACTCAACGTTTAACCTACTCACGCCGGCTTGTGCCTGCCCTAACAGTCGGGCATATTTGCGGAATACACCACGCCGCCGTTGACCCTGGCTATTGACCGAGCAACCCAACGTTCCTACCAGCTCCCTCCGCAGGAATGTGTTTTAGTGACCCCCAGCGAAGTAAGAACTGGTAGACTGATGACAAAGGATGCAGGAGGGTCGGTTAGACGGAAAGACACAACCGGGTCGTTCTGCCTAGTGGCCGGTGAATGTTGCGTGTGTATTTGAGCTCAGTATCTCTCTGTAAAATGGAGATATCTGTATGCAAACGGAGAGTATGGTAGTGATTATTGAACATACCTTACTGCCCTTAGAGACATGCTTTTAAATCCATTACTTGTTTTTTTATTTCCAATAAAGAGAGGACTTGCTTGTGTTTTAGAGGTCAGCATTATACTTCAATTTCCCTAGGATAGGCATGCATGAAGTGTGTGCTTTCCTATGGACGTATTTTAACTTAGCACAGAGTAATGCAACTCTTTCTAGATTTGAAGTTTTCGTGACTGCAAGGATCCATACTAGTTGGTTCTTTCGGTAAAGTCACGTAGGTGAAAAAGAAAAAATATATACAAAAATATAAATAACTAAATTAAATCACGACGTTTCGGAAGCAACACAAAGCTTCCGTCATCAGGTGGGACAACCACAGCAAGAAACAACTCTATCAAGCTCACATGCCACCTGCTAAATAACAGTACTCTCAGATTATAAGATGCACCAGAAAGCAATGTCGGGCACCGACCTTAGTTCCCCAATGTCAGCACTGTAAATATCATACAAATCTCGTCACACACACACAGCAATAATAATAACAACCAATCATAGGGGCAGTGGTGGCACAATAGTTAGCGTTATGAACCTGTCAACCTGAGTTTGATCCCTGGCCCACAGCTGCACACTGGAGGGAACGTGACATCTGAACAGGTTCTGGCCCACACTTCATCAATTCATCCGCATTGGCCGCCCGGCATGGCAAAGTATTTTTTAATTATGTTTTATTTTTATTATTTTATTATTTCTCTTCTACGTGACTTTACCGAAAGAACCAAGAAGATATGGCCAAACAACTCTTACGTCTGCTGACATAGCACAGAGAAGGCCTTCATCCAGCAGTGTTTTTATAAAGGGGCTGTAAAATGTTTACTTGTAAAATTACACGATGTAACACAATTTTTGTTCCTGGATAGTAAGTGTTTTTTAGTAATTGCTTACGCCTAAAAAGTATAGAAAATGGCTATTATTCCCAACAAACCTTGCTTTTGTGACCAGGACGGTGATATTTTGATATGTACCTATTTTCAATGAGAAAACGGGCGAATTTGTGTCTTTTCGTTCACATAAAGTCAGAAAAAAAAACATGAATCAAAATTAACATGTATTTATACTAAAGTAATAAAAAATTACTACAGAAGATTTAGAAGTGAGTAGTTTCTCGAGAATTACGATTTTACTGTAAATCAATTTCACGAATCAGCCCCCAAATGTAGTCTCCCATCATGTTCTCGTTATACTGTCCTTGGTAGCGGCGTTCAAAGTCCAGTATATCCTAGTGGAAGCGCTCGCCTTGCTCCTCCGAGTGCACTCCCATGTTCTCTTTGAATTTATCAAGATGAGCATCAAGGATATGGACTTTGAGGGACATCCTACAGCCCATTGCGCCGTAGTTCTTCACCAGTCTCAACCAGCTCCACATAGTTTTCGACCTTGTGATTGCCCAGGAAGCCACGAGCCACTGCGACAAAGCTGTTCCAAGCCACTTTCTCCTTACTCGTGAGCTTCTTGAGGAATTCATTGCAATCCAGAATCTTCTTTATCTGTGGTCCGACAAATACACCGGCTTTGACCTTTGCCTCAGACAGCTTAGTGAAGAAGTCTTGAAGGTACTTGAAGGCTGCCGACTCCTTATCTAC